GCTGGCCTAAAGGCCCATCGGCTTACGCTCTTGCTGACGCCCTGCCCTTCCGGTTTTGTCTCATTGAACCCCCTAAGGATGCCACTGAGCCTGCTCCACCCACCGGGAAGTCCTTCCCTCACGGCGAGTGCAGCACGCTGGGTCCTAAGTCAGGGGCCCACGGATGTGGCCTGGCCTGGGCTCACTCTGGGCCATGAAGCTTCCAGGCCCAGCCTCAGACACCAGCTACAGCGTGCCACCTGTGGTTCTGCCCCCAGCCCCCATATCCGTGTCCCGTGTTCCCGGCTAAAGCAGACAGCTGGTAAAAACTTGCTAAAATGAATGAATGATGCCCAAACAATGTCCACAACAGCAGTAAAGGCCAGAACTCACAGCGAGGAGCTGGCCGCGCTCCCACCTCTGCACGGGCCGCCACTCGGCCTGCAGCCACGGCACCCGGAATGACTTCATGCACCCCTCTCTCCAGGCAAGGAAACCAAAGTGGGTGGAGGCTCGCAGAACATATTTCTCCATTGCTTATGAATCCCATTTGAGAGTTAAATAATGACAAGATGGCTTTAAGCGCTTGAAAAGTATGAGTTAAGCCGTTCGCAGGGAAGGCGCGTCATTTAACAAGCATGCAGAATTGACTGTTCCGACCACGGGGCTGACGAGACAGCTGGGGAGGGCGGGCTGCAGGACGGAGGGTCAGGCTGGGGTCTGGCTCCTCGGAAGCATGTGGGGGTCACAGGGGCCTGGGAATCTCATCCCCCCAGCAGGACCTGCCTCCTCCCCACCGCCTCTCCCTTGGGCTTCCGGCACCCTGGCTGTATGCCAGCATCCCCAGGCCAGGGGCACTAGCCAGACGGTGCCAGCAGCGCCTGGCTCTGGCCAGCCTCGGGAGTCAGGGGTCCTGGCTGGGCTCTGAGTGGACCCTTTAAACTCCAGGCCCCGTGGAAGAGAATATGACTCTTGGTCTACACCCACCCCTACAGTCAAGCTTCTGCGAGCAGTGCCATCTCAGTGCGGTGGGGCGTGGGGGCTTCTGCCAGCCGCTGGCCATGAGGCTGTGGCTGGAACACCCACTCACCCGAAGCAAAACATTTTTTTAAATCATGTAACTTACACCTGTAGTGCACGTCCTCCCATGTTATTCAAGTGCCCTGTCTCATTATGACCCCATAGGGTCCCATTTCAGAGACCGAAACACCAAGCTCAGAAAGGCGACGTCACCAGCCCAGAATCCACCGCAAGTAGGTGGAGTCAGGTCTGTCGATTCTACAGCCCACGGCCTTCCCCTCTGCCAGCCACGGGAGCAGCGGTCACGCCCTCGCGGGCCTCCTGTGTTCCATGTGCCGGGCTTTACGGCAGCCTCTCCTCTCCCCTGAAGCCTGGAGGGCGGGGTGACAACCCGCCATGAAGCAGGGAGAAGCACAGCCTCCTCGGCCAAGGCCCCGTGGTCACAGTGGCGGTGCCCACAGGACAGGCTCCTATGTTGGAAGAAAGGGCGCCTCCCCTCCCGCCACCTGGGGCTCTGGCCTTACGGAGATGCGGGGTCCCACACGTCAGTGGGCGCACAGTAGGACAGCCACACCTGCCTGAGCGCCCATCAACAGGAGAGGCTCTTCCTGCCATGATGATGTGGGAAGCCACGAGGAGGATGTGCCCGAGTGGGTCGTGGAGGGCGCGGGAGGGGCTTCCTCTCGGACTCTTCCCTTGGACAGCCAGGGGGCAGGTATCAGGGTGGTGAGAAGGGTAGGGTCCGAGAGGCTGAGCTCCGGGAGGGCCCGTCTCGTGGGTGCATGCTACAAACCAGTGAGTGGTGCCCTGCGGTATTCGGGGCTTGTTTTCCACTGGGCACCCCCAGCCCTCTAGGGGCACTACCCATCTGCTTCCCTCAGTGACTACCTGTCCGTCCGCCCGTCCATCCTTCCATCCATCACCTACCTATCCTGCCACCAATCAGTCCTTCCTTCCTTCCTCCCTTCCATCCATCCAGCCCATACCCCACACATGACGGGTTCCTGCACTGTGTCTGGCCCTGGGCTGGGCTTTGAGATGAGGGTGCAGATGTCCCTTGGAGGGGCTCTGCCCTCCAGGGGCCCAGGGGACACGTCATAGGTGACTGAGTAAGCCTTCGATGCTCTCCCAATAGCTGCTCACCTCTAATGCTTGTTATGCCACCAGTGTGTCTCCTAGATCCCAGGATGCGACTCAGCTTTTCTGCCTGAGAAACACCAGTGTACCAGTGTGGCGTCCTTCACGGAATGCCTGAACAAGCCCAGGGAGCCCACACTGCTGCCTCTGCAGAGGGTGTCGTATATGCAGAGGGTGTCGTATATGTGCCACCTTGCAGGGACCTGCTAAAGGAGAACGTCTGTGATGTGGGCCCGGAGTGACGTCAGTTCTCTGTTTCTCCTCTCCATTAAGGAGATTTTTTTCCTGAGGACAGATTCTTAGCTGGAACCTGGCCAGGCCAAAGCTCATCTGAATTGTCTGGGGAGTGACAGACAGCTGGCTGGAATTCCAGACAAAGAGAGAGAGGGGCCAGTTTTCCAGCAGCGTGAAGAAACAGGCCATGCTGGCCTTCACCCCACACTGTTTGCACCTGTCCCCATCCCCAGAGGCACCGGCGACCTTCACTGGGGGGCCCAGACCGGTCTCTGCAGAAATGTTTGCCCCGAACCCATCTCTCTGTCTCCCATCGATTGGCACCTCCACGTGTCTCATTTCTATCTCTATGTCTGTCTCCTGTCTCTCTCTCTCCATGTGCCTCTGATTTTCTGTATGAGCCATTCTCTCCTTCATTCATCCCCTTCCACCTTCCCCATTCCCTTTCTCCAAAGATCATCTCAAGAGCAGACACCCCATGACACAAAGTTCTGGGGACAATGTGTGGCCATCTCTTCTCGGCTACAAGGAAAGCAAGAGAGCTGGTTCCAGCCTCACCCCTCCCTGGTGGGTAACCGGATGCCAGAGTGCCTGGTCCCAGGGAGCTGACACTCTAGTGGGGCCGCTAGACTATAAATGAACAGAAAAAAAATGGATAATGTTGGATAGTGCTATGCACTAGAAGTAAAAGAATAAGGGGCAGAGAGTCAGGGGGCTATTTCTGGTAGAATGGCCCAGGGTGCTCTCCCGAGTAAGGTGACATTTAAACAGAGACTAGAATGCATCAAGGGGTCAGCCCCTGTGGGTACTGGAGAAAGAGAACAGCACGTGCAAAGGCCCTGAGGTGGGACGCCATGCCCAGGCTGCATTTCCTGGGCATGTTGCCTGTAGAACAGTTCAGATGCTAGGGCACCTCGGAGAACCACCTCAGCCCATCTGGTCAACTTGGTGACCAAGTGTAGGTGTCAGCCCTGGGAAAGTCAGCAGGCAGCCGCCACACACACACACACACACACACACACACACAGAGCTGCTGACAGCTGGGGAGGGCAGGGGCACCCATCTTGTCCCGGGGTCTCAAGATGGACTCCCATCAGCAGTGAGAGCCTCAGCCCCCTTCCGTCTGTTCAACCTCCCCTGTCATCCCCACACTAAGGTGGGGTCCTGCAACCCCACGGGAATGGAAGGCCTTTGTGTCCATGTCAGTGGGCTGTGGAAGCAGCAGTGCTGCCAAACCGATCAGACCGCTGGTTGAAGCCTGCTTTGCAGGACATCTGTACATGTTCTCCAAACATCACATCATGCTAATAAGGCAAATAAACATGGCATTTAAAGATCAGAGGCACCGCGGTTACGGCCTATTAAATTAAATTCATCGTCAAGGGTGAAAGAGAAGATAAGCTGGGATTATTCTAGTCATGGCAATTAAAAAAAAAAAAAAAGAACGGAGTGTTTTGAGAGAGATGTGATTTCGTGGTCTCTGAAGCCAGAGTCTGTGGTTTGGAAGGGTAACTCTGGAACAAGGGGCCAGGCCCTCCCCTCCCCACATAGTGGCTCCAGGCGCCTGGCAGGGCTCCCTCCTGAGACAGAGCCTGTCCCATGCAGGGCCTCCTGTCTAGAGCCGGGGGTGGGGTGGGGGTGGCTGCTGGCAGGGTGAGCATGGCTCCCACACCTCCCCACAGCGCTGTGCTCTTGTCCTCCTCCATAGCGCCCTCGCCTGGCAAAGCCTTCTTCCTGGTGGCTTATCCTGACCCCTCGGGGCTTCACTTTACCCATCTGGGAAACGGGAATGATAAAGGCACCCTCAATCATTTTTCTACTTCCACAAGGAGCTGTGCACCTCAGCTTTGCAGGAGACACGGCCTCCCATGGCCATCTGACGGCCCCTGAGCTCCCCTTCCATTGTTGGTGTCTTGTAGTCCCTGATGGTCAGGCCCAGCTAGACCAGAGCAAGAAGGTGACAAGTAGTGACGGAACTATGACAAGTTGAGGCAGGACTGGCTACGTAATTTATAGGGCCCAAGGCTAAATGAAAACATGGGCCCCTTTGCTCAAACTTATTAGGAATTTCAAGATGGCCACAGGAGAGCATTTAGCAAGCATGGGACCCTGCTGAGTGTGGGACCCCGTAGGACTGCACATGTCACCAGCCCTGAGGCCGGGAGTCAGACGGATGTGGGTTCAAATCCCAGCACAGCCACTTATTCACTGAATGATGTCTGCAGATATGTAACCTCTTTTGAGTTTGGTTTCCTAGTTCAGAAAATAAACAATATTTCAGGATTATTACAAAGATGAAATCGATACTTAATACATCTCCATGTCTTCCACTCAGTCTGTCCCCAACAAAGTCATGTGAATAAGAGAAGTGCTGAACTGAATGTCAAAACTACTTGAAAATATTCTGGGTTCTGCATTCTATGTTCTTTCGGGAAAGGCACTGGGGTTTGAATTCTGTTACCGGACACCTGAACAGCCATGTCAATTGGTAGAAGGAGACTCAAGCAGGGGCCAGGGGCCCCCACGTGCCATTCCCCACCCCTCCTGATGGCTGAGCTTCAGAGAAAGCTTAGGTGTATGCCCTGCGACAGAGGCTGCACCGAACGCGGCTCCACCCCTCACCCCAGCACCCGGAGGGCAGTGAGATGACCAGGGCTGGAGCCTGTGCGGCCCGAGGCTGGAGGTGGAGCTTGAACAGAACCAGCTCCTCCTCTGTGCCCCGGGCCTGGGGGCAGGGGTGTAGCACAGGGTCCCACGCCAGACAGGGAGGGGCTGGCAGAGGAAGGTGTTTCACCCCCACTGCCAAGCGAGCAGCTGCTTACACCTGGCCTCCAGCCTGTGGCTCTTGGTGAAGTTTAAGATGACCAGTATTAAAATGTGACATCCAGCAAGCCAGGGCCAGGCTAGTCTGCGTCGTTCAATGCACGTTGACTGAACACCCATGCTGGGGTGGGCCTGTGTCAGCTGTTGGTGAACACGTGGTCGTTTCTGTCTGTATCTATGGCTACATTCACCTCTGTCTCCATCTGTGTCTGTATGTGCATCTGAGTGTCCACCTCCATCGTCATCTCCATCTGTTATCTGTACTTCTCCCTGTACCTCCATCGACCGGCCTCCATTGGTTACTGTATTGGCGGGCATATCCGCACCTGTATCACCAGCCCCGTCTCCATCTGCATCTCTACCTGTAGCTGCATCTGTGCCCATCTCCATCTCCATCTCCATCCCCATTTGCATCTCCACTTCTAGCTGTATCTATCTCCATCTCCATTTGTACCTCTACCTCGAGTCAAGGTCACAGACAACTTTGTATTTTTAGGAGGTAATAAAATTTGTACCAAAAAACTCTGTTACCTTATTTCTAAGCAGGCAGTCTCACCCCTGCTTTTAAATAGGCTGGAAATTCCAAGGGTGGCATATGTACGTGCAGGACTTTTTCCTGTTCAAGTTTGGATTTTCCCTATTCTACCAAGTAATAGTTGTCCCATCTGGGGCTTCTGAAAAGAAGGCATATATATATATATATATATATATATATATATATATATATATATATATATATGGATATGGATATATATGGATATATATATATGCATACTTACAGCAAAAATCTCATTTGTCATTGAACACAATGGTTAGGCTTCGGGTTTTTGCTCAGATACATATTTGGAAAGGAACACTATATTCTTTGGATCATAAACTCCTTCTTTTGGAGTAAAGAAGGCATCTATGCCAAATGCTCCACTTTAATCCCTGAATCTTACCATGCTAGTGAAGACTGTCCCTATTTTTGAAATCTAGGATTACAGTTTTTACTGCTGCTAACTTATTATTGAGTTAAGGAGGATAATTGGGGAAACTTCTTAGACCCAAGCCCTTAGGAGTGGAATACGTTTTATCAAGACACACGGTATGGTGAAAGGTCAACTCTACAGTGGTATTATATATATATATATATTTTTTTCCAACTTATTATTAATTTTTGAACCCCCCCCCCTTATGGCTCAGTAGAGTGTGGGTTCACACAGAGCGAGGCCTGTGATCTAAGTGCCAGAATACTATTATCGGCGGGGCCCCTCTGCTCAGCTGTTTAATTTTAAAACCTGAAATCAGGTGGAATTTGTCCAATAAATGCACTGAGAGATAAAGGAATACCCAGATCCTTTTAAAAAGTGAAACAGCATTTAAGTAGGTCACATTTCCCATGGGTCACGGACACCCTGATGGTTTTACAATATTTTCTCGCTCCATTGTCGAGGCTGAAGGAACGAAGCTCTCTCAGCAAAGCATGCCAGCGGCATGGCCGGCAGTGGGAGGCCCGCTCCTCGCTCTCCTTGAACAGCCTTTTTTAAGCGCAAAGGTCCCATCAGTAGGCAGCAAGTCATGATACCTGGCTTTCAATTCTAGCTTTGCCACTTCCAGACACGTGGCCTTAGGCAAGTCACTTCCATTCTCTGTACCTCACGTGCACTCTCTGTCCTCGAGGTGTCGCGGGCCAGATGGAGACAGACCTGTAAGTGGGAGCCCTGGGCAAGGATGGCATGGCATGATCATGTGGCCAGGACAAAAGAGGAGGCCCAACCAAAGCTGCCTGGCAGAGGTGTCCAGATAGACCAATCGAGCCCACTGCTGGCCCCTTTAATCTACAGTTTTAGCTGTTTCCATCACAACCCTGAACATCCCATGTCCACCTTTTGATGGCATTGCATTCACACAAAGTGTCCCTGTGAAAACAGCCCAGCTCAGAATTATCAGCCGCCTGGGGACCACCATGACCACAGAATCCTCTTCCCCACCAGAGTCAGTCTCAGACAGAGGTGCTACAGATGGTTTGCTGAGGCCCCATGAGGCCTCGCCCTAGTCTCCTGAGAACGTTTTTTCCTGTGATGCCACCTGGTTCTAGCCTCACACGTTCCTGTTTTGATGGAGAAGAGGGTCTCAAGAGTCACAGATGGTCTACAGGCCATCCCCTTACTTCTGATGGCATTTCCTATGACATGGGGCAATGACAACCCCAGCCAGTCCGGCAGCCTCGCCAGGGACAGGTCAAGGACACACTTCGTGCACTCGGCCCGAGTGTCCGTCTCGAGTCCACAGACAGAGCTTGATTCAGGCTCCTCAGACACCCCTGCCGGGCGCAGGAGCCCAAGCCTCCATCCTGGGAGATGAGGGGTGACGGTCCCTCTAACATAATTACAGTGGAAATTAAGGAAATTGCTAACCCTGCTGTCAGGTGCATAATTAAGCTGAGAAACTTAATTGTGTCTTAGCGGGGGAGGATCTCCCTGATCGAGATGTACTTTCAAAAGAGAGCGAGGAAGAAGGGAAAATGCCAAACCTCAGATTCCTTCAGGTTCAAGGCACCGGGAGGCAGCAAGTCCAGCCAAACGGTCAGTGGCCGGAGGGTCTCTGTGCCCCCTTTGCAGGTGGGGGCACTGGGTGCAGAGAAGCCTGGGTCCAGCTTTGGTCAATACGGCAGGAGGAAAGTGCACACCGGCCACGTGACACTGCGATTTCTTCACCACTCAGACCCTCAGTGTCTTTTTCTGCAGGATGCCCATATCCACTCACAGCATTGCTGATTAGAGTCAATGAGGCCACGTACAACATTGAGGAGCCCTCACCTGGTTTTATTTTGCCCTCTTACTGTGTGCAGGTTACTACTGCACACACCAACCACTGAGCGGGCAGTGGTCACTGGGACACAGAGCCCAGCCTTGCTTGGAGAGGGGCCTGTGCCCCCCCAGACAGGGCTGAGCAGTGTTGGAAGCCGGGGGGACAGCCGCAGCCCTTCGTGCCGCCCCCCATCATCCGCTCCCTTCACCAGTTCCCTCTGCCTGGCTCCCTGGTCGGCCCACCCCCACCGCCCTCCCCCACTCTGGCCTTTCCACTCACACCTAGCTCTTTCTGTGGTTTTGGCCTTTTCAAATGTGGCCCATGAATAATGAATCCCTGTTATAAATTTAGAAAACGTCCTTTCTCCCTGGAACCTGGCCTTTCTCTTTATTTTTCTCATGCTGGTTTGTAAGAAAATGAATCCCCTGAAAACACATTTTCCCCTTAACTGATTTCCTAACAAGCAAAATGAAGTTGCTAATTTTACAGCCTCCATGCAGAGTGACACTGGCTCACTGCCCTGAGTGTGTTGGGGGGGTGGTCAGGGAAGAGGTGTGGGGGGAGTAGCTTTCCAGAAAGTTCTAAATCCTGGGGACCAGGTGGTATGGTGGAAAGGGCACAGATGGGCCTTGGGGCAGAACCAGGCTGGAATCTGGGCACGCATCGCACTTCTCCGGGCTCCGGGCTCCTCATCTGAGCACCAGGAAGGAGGGGCTTCCTGGGAGGGTTGTGTGACATGAGCACACATAGATGGGGGGCAATGCTGGCACAAAATGGGCCCCGTTGCTTCCATCTCCTCCCTCTCTTCCTGCAGTGAACTACATGAGGGCCAGAAAAACCTCTGGAACATTCTCGAACGAGTTCCAATTCCTCCCCACGCCCGCTCTCCTCTGCGAATCTTCAGAGCTGACCTGCGCCCCCCCAACCCCCCGAGTCTGGGCGTGCTCCCTCTGTGTCCAGCCCTCACCCTCTCCCTTCCTCTTTGCTCTGCCAGGCCCGGGCAGGTACCAAGGACACAGGCAAAGCCCAGGAATGGGCCCCCATTCCTGGAGCTTCTCAGGCCCATGGGGTGACAGTGTGGGGTGACCACGGGGATGCCCAGAAAGCCGAAGGGCCCTGAGCTACAAGGGACAGAAGTCCAACCCCCTGTGCTGCCCTACGCTCCTCTCCTGCCTCAAGTCCCATCCCCACTTCTTCCAAGTTCAGCTCAAGGTCACCCTCTTCCAGGAGCCCTTTCCTAGTGACTGGCCCCTCATTAATTTAGGCCCTGCCCCTTGTCTTGTCATGGCCAAGGTGTAGCTACATCGGTCCCCAGTGCTCTGCAATTTCAGGCATTCCTTGTCACTTTCTCCCCGCCACCCCCCCACACACACATCACACACCAACTGCCCACCACTTAGGCTCCAAGGTTCTCTAGAACTAGGCCCAGCCTCGTGCCTCACCACCAGCCCTGACCAGTCCTACTGGAGAGCTGATGGCCAGTGCTCAGCACAGCTCCTGGCCAATATGATAGCTGGGGGAGCAAATGGAAAAACAGGCGAATGAACAGATGAATCTGAACAGATGAACCTGCTACCCATAAAGACCTGGTTGGCTGGGCCCTGTGTGCACATGGGTAGGGGTGCCATGCTGTCATCAAGGCTGCAGGCTCGCCACTCAGACCCCAGTCCCACCTCTAACCAGCTGGCCCTTGCAAGTCACTTAGCCTCTCTGATTTTCAGTTTCCTCATCTGTAAAATGGAGAGAATACAAGATAATAGAACTTACTCCAAAGGGATTCTCTGTGAGTGTTAAAGGAAAAGTTCACACGAAAGAATTAGCACAGAGTGAACGCTCAATAAATAGAGACTGCTATGACGATGATGATGATGATGANGACTAGTTCCCTTAGACTAGAAAGTTCTGGATTGCAGGGACGTGTCCTGATCGCTGCGGCACCTCTGGCTCTTCATTTACGTCTGGCTCAGCGTAGACGCTCAACGCACGCTCCTTGAGTGAATGACTGAATTAACACTGTGGTTCCAGGAGCCAGGAAAGAAAGAAGACACGCTTGCCATGTCTCAGTTCTGCGCCCCACAGCCCACCCGCGTGGGGCCAGGGCTGCCTGTCTGAAACCACCAGCTGCCTCACGCCCATTTCTGCCGCCATATCTCGGCTCCCAGTTCGACCACTTTCAGGCCACTCTGGTGCGCATCTGCATACAGGCCGTGCGGGAATCCTGCTGAGAAATTAATCGGGGCCGTTTGTATGCCGCGTGCTGAGTTCTGGAGCCGCGAAGGGGAGCGGCAGCACCATCACCCCAAATCCGCCAACTTTCCTCCCCACAATTTCCAAATTCAATAAGCACAAATCACTGATCTAATTTTTCCCTTAAAGTTAAACAACAAATTGCTTCGCCAGCCTCCAGCATCTGCTGTTTTCAAGGGCCGTGGAGAGCAGCAGGGCCTTTTAGTCAAGCTTTGTTCCCAGAGGCCTTTGAGCCAGGGCCCCGCCCCCCCATCCGGGGAGATTCAGCAGACAAAACCCACACCTCCACTCAGGAAGGAAACATTTATTAAGCACCTACTATGTCCTGGTATCTTCTTTTAAAATCCCCTTTTCAGAAAACAGGAGTGGAGCTC